GTGAACCCTATTAAACTGTCTTAACTTGGAAAATTAGTGTCCCACTTTTTACTTTGCACATATCTAAGTGGAGATGGATGTGGATGACCCCTGATTAGTGCCACTAAAGTACCCTGCAGAATCCTTCTTGTCCCTACTTTTATAACATAAATCTATGGAGATATGGAGATATACAGAATCTCAACTCAAGATTTTAATAGAGCTTTCAGTATATTTCCTTATATAGAATTTTTGTTAAAAAAAAAATAAACTATTTTAGAAACAAAATGTTACAAAATTAATTTGTATTTGAAAACAATATTTTAAAAGTGAGTTTAAAATTCTCAATTTTATTTTATCAAGTATATTTATATTTTTAAGAAATACATTAATTTAAAACTTTAATTAATATAATTAATTATACTTAGCACATGATTTTGTTATTAGAATTCTAAAATAGAGATAATCTTAATAATTTATGCATGCAACCAATCTTTAAGTTGTAACCATGATTTCCAAGAAATTAATTCACTTGTAGTGATGGATAAAAATTATCACTAAAAATTTAAAATTTGTAGATGAATATTTATTTTACATTAATTCAAAGACAATTTATCCATCAATTATATGAATTATATAACAACATTTTTTTTCATTTTTACCTATATAACAAACAACTATATAAGTATAAATGTTTGAATTTTATCTACACTAAATATTTATAAGTATAAATAATTTTTAGCTTTACTCATAAGTATCATGTACGTAGGAGAATAAAACATTCATGAGTATAATTTATTTTCCTTGTAGCTATTCATATTCATGCCAGAGAGGACAGATAAACACAGGGTTGAGATTGACCCTTTTAGAAAAATAACCATGCTTTTAATTTCAGAAAATAAAATTGATAAAAACAAACTATTATTCTTTAAAAATAAGTTGAAGTAATGAAAACAAAAATGATATATATCTATATATTTTTTTGTATTATTGTTGCTCATTCAGAAGGAAGAAACAAAGAAACGAATGGTTGAGACCATGCATGGAAATTTAGTATTAGCACGCCGGGTTGAATGAAGAAAAGAGAAGATTTGGAAATTTGAATATGTAAATTTATCCACCAAATCATCCACTCCAATTTTAATTTATGGCACGATGGTGATGGGTTGTTAAAAAATCGCTTTATACAATAATATTCAATATCTTTCTCTCTTATCTTAAAGGTACCTTCTTTCCACAACTTTTCTTTTCTTTTTTTCACTTGTGTTTTTTTTCTGTTTCGCCTTTGCAATGTTGGGTCATGCTCATGATCGATCTTCTTTCTCAATTCTAACCTCATGCTACTTGTTCACACGCGATTGAGACTTCACACAATTGGTTTGTTTTATATAGCAAAATATTGAAGATCTCATTGATTTGTTATATATATTTGCAATATATATTTTAAGAGTTGTAGAACTTTCCTTGACCTCATTCTCATATTAATTAATTGATTGATTGGGTGGTGTTAGATTCTATGCAATGTGAGTCATTATTCCCTTCAAAGGTGTGGAAGATATTACTAATAATGAGTAGTACTCCTTCAAATGTATTCTTTTTTATTCTTCCTTAATTTCAAGTTCAACGGATATTTTTATGTTGACAAAGCTTCTAGATGCTAATGCTACCCACTAGTATCAACTTTTAGGCGTTAGTACTTTTCAATGGTGTTGGATAATTTCAGAAATTGTTTATTTTTTTGAAAAAAAAATATTTTGAATTTTATATTTAGAAAATATGTTGGATTTAATTTTTCATTTTCTAATTTTATAAAAAAAAAATATTTAAAATATGTTTGGTTTATTAATTTTATTAATAAATTTATAATATCTATCATCAATAATAACTCTTTTTTTTTGACAAATGTATTAATATCTATTATGTTGAAATTATTGTATTATATTTTAAATAACAATCATTTCTTGACTTATAACAATTTTTTCACATTTAATTTGTAATAACTTTTTAAACTTGAAATATTGTATTTATAATTGAAATGTACAAACTATTAACATTTATATATTTTATTTAAATTTAGTCATATATATAATACTTTTAAAATATAGAAGGAAGTTGCCAGCAATCCCAATCAACTTAATATTAAACTTAATTATTTATAATAGTCATAATTAATAAATCAAAGCAATCTTCTTAATATTATATTGTTAGATCAGTAACCACTATGAAAACTTAAATTCAATTCTATTACTATTTTTGTAGTATTTCTTATTTTTATTAAAAAAAAATACTACTAGATCAGCACCCCTCACACTTAATACACGTAATCTGTTAATAAAAAAATAAAAGATAAAGTTACATGTTCAATACAACTCATTCTCCACGATACAATCATTTTTCCATGTTACAGTTACACGGTCAATACTGTTTTCACTTCTAGAGAAAAAACTGGAAACGTCATCTTTTCTTTCCATTTCGATTTTTCACTCATTTTTAAAAATATTTTCGAGAAAAATGTTTCTATTTCTTATTTTTCACATATTTCTCACGTATTTATCTTTAATTAAATAATCAAATTTTTACTTTTTTCAAATCTATTTCTACTATTTTTTTTATTTTTCTCTATTCTATTTTTTACATATCTTTTTCTTTAACAAAAAACACACACTAAAAGATAAAATGGAAGATGAAGTGGTAACACTCGTCTCAGTATATAAGTTGTGCACTTTTGGATGGAAATCCGAACTCTATTATTATTACTATAATTCTTACATGTCAAGAAAAAAAAAACTTAAAAAAAAAACTTGCTTTATTAATTTATTCATTTTCTTTCATTCCTCTTAATTTCTTTCTTTTTATTATTTTCTTTTATTTCATTTCCCTGCTTAAATAAAAAAAAACACCTAAATTTATAAATCAGACGGAAGATGGATTGAATGAGTCAACCCCTATATAGATTATATGTTTCTTTGAAACCAAACCGAAATTTATGTATATGTTTCTTTGGTATGAGAATTAAAGTCCATTGGTTAAATATGATATACTGTATTAATCACGTGAGCGCTAATAGTATATATAGAATTTTTATATTAATGAAATTATGTATTAACAATACATCGTAATATAAATATTAAGAGTTTAATTTCTACTAAATATATAAAAATACTAACAGCAATATATGGCAGTTTTCTTCGATGATTTATAAAAGCATATATTGATGATAATCAGATTTTATTAAATTTTTATAGCTAAATTATTTTTTGATCCTTTATCTTTTTTTTTAAAGTTTATTTTACTCTTTTATTTATTAAAATATTTATTTTAATTCTTTATTTTTTATATTTAGATTAATTTGACCCTTTTAAAATAATAATAATTTTAAATTTTACAACATAATTTTAAATCAATTTTCAACTGATTCAATACATAAAATTTGTAGTATTAGATTTAACTACATAAAAACTATAAAATTTAATTAATGCTTGAATCCAAAAGATTATGAACATAATGAAAATTGTGTGAAAAAAATATCTCATAAAAAACTAGAAAATAGTATAAAATTGTATTTTAATTTTTTTTAATTATCTATTAGATTTATTTTTATGTAATTTATTTTACTATGTTTGTAAAATTTCTTCATTCAAATTTTAATAATTTTCTTATAATGAAATAAATTTCAAGATTTGAATCAGTAAAAAATATCCAAAATCATATATCCAAATTGAAAAAAAAAATCATTATTTCAAAATGATCAAACTAGTTTAAATTTAAGAAATAAAGAACCAAAATAAATTTAATAAATAAGATAAAGGACTAATAATATAATTTAGCCATTAATTTAATTCTCAGTCGATAAATAAATAAATAAATTTAATTCAATACAAACTACCAAAATCGAATTCTAATTAATTATATTGGCCAATCCAACTGTACTTATGTGTATAGATATAGTTTTATTTATAAAATTAATTTCTTAGTCATATTTAGATAGTTATATATTATGAAATATCAATGATCTTAATTACTTTTATTACTTTATTTTCTGAATTGCAATTCTATTTAGGAATACATATTACTATTTTAATGTATTTACGGGTATTTTAGTTTTGGATTAATTTAATATTGTCGCCTCTAATGTATATTTTTATTATACAATTTTTGTGCTTTGTATAAAAATATGTTTCAACGAAAAAAATGTAAAATAATAAATAAAATTTTTCCATTGTATTTTTACTATATTATAAAAAAAATATATTAAGAATTTAATCATCTAATCAAATTCTAATCAATGTGAAAACTAAATTAGTCTTGAATTAAAAAACATCTGACATAAATATAAGCTCCATTTAGTATATCTCCTCATTCATGCATAAGTTGTATCTCTATACACACTTGAGAATTTTTTTTATTATCGTTGATTAATTATTTAGAACTTGGAGAATTTCCTTTCAAAGGCTGAAATTCATCTCATTCTTATATATCAACAATATCTGACATGCATGCGAGGTGGCAAAGTGATAATCGTGTTAATGATACTATAGTTGATTTTAATTTCTTAGTATTATGTTCAAAAATTAAATTAAATTAATAAAGGGGTTTGTGAATTGTGATCAGTATTAGCTTCATGTTATTGTCGGGTGTCACAAGCCACCCATCTTATCATCACCTTTTTTTTTGGATAACTTTAATTTCTTCCATGAAAAGTTGAAAACTACAACACCGCAACGTTCAGACAAGTTTAAATTACCCTTATACGTTCATCATAATCCCTTCAATTAATGTTCGAAGAGTAATAAAACAAACGAATATCAATATTTAGAAAAAGACAAAAAAAAAAAGGTGATGATATGTATAAATGCCGATTGCCAATACTTTTTCATTAATAATATGGATTTAAAAGGGTGAGACACTGACACATACTATTGCACTGAGAGCCACCTCTAACCCTCTTTGCATTAATTTGTTTGATAAGGGACACATATTCATTAGAACTAATCCGAAGGAACTGAAAATGGAAGAAGAAGTAATCAAATATATATATATTACAAATGATGGAGCTAAAGTTCTTACAACTTTCAAATAGAAGATGAAGCAACGCTAATCTAGCTAATTGACTTTTCTTAATGTATATATATAGCAAGCACTCCTAGATGATGATACATTGCTCTGGTGCAGGTATTTTATGTCGTTTGAATCTATGATAATTTTAGAACGGACATAAAAGTTTATTTTTTAATGTATATAGAAAGTTTCTTCCATAGTAATGTCTTTGAAATAACTGAAAAATATTGAAATTTGCCGACCCAATTAATCATCAAAGTCCACCAAAAGGGTGATAGGCATCATCAAGGTCAACCGAATCACAGAAAGTGGATATGGCATCCCAGTGATGAGGTGATAGAGTGACATCGTTAGTGTCATGCATTGAAGAATTATCTGAGGTGGGTTTTGGGGAGAGGAAGTAATCATTTGAGGAAGGTGAGGGAATTACCTCCTCTTTGTTGAGTGATGGTGAGGGATGAAAAGATGATAAAAAAGGGCACTCTTGATTGGTTGGATTAGGGATGGTGTTGTTAAAGCTAAGCAATATGGAAGTGTCAGGAGCAGAACTATTGGAATCAAGTATGATTTTGGAGTTTATCTTTATCAACTCATTATTGCACGTGTGGTGGCCAAAATAGGTGGTCTTATACAAGGGAGGCTCCTCTTGAATTCTTTGCACTTGTTTTGATGCTTGACATTTCTGATCATACCTGTGACTGCACCTGTAATAGTTCCTGTATGTATATACATTAATCAATTAGCTAGGACTTATATAGACTTACAAGAGAATAATTAGGAAAATGGTGCAGTGTGGAAATATATATATATATATATTTATATATTTTGATTAATCTTACTTATAGTATTATAATTGTTGCCGATTCAATTAAAGAAAATAACTATTTGGAATGACATGTTGGAATTAGTTAATATATTTGTTGCCTACCTTGAGTATTTGGCTTCGAGGATCGCTTTTTGGCCATACTTTCTCCACTGGTGACCATCAACTATTGGAGTTTCCGACACCCTCTCCCATTCTTCTGTAGTTCTTCTGCATATATGCAAGATATCCAGATTAATTTACAACCATGAACTATCCTTAGTTTTGAATAACGAAAGCACGATGAAGGGGTTAAAGGAAAAACTAAAGACAAGGCACCCCAATTACATCATAACCGTTCATCAAATATGTGGATGCACTAAACAATAAATATATAATTGATGTGGTGCATGAAATAACAAATTTAAAACCCTTGAATAGATAGATACTAAGTAAGAGCAACAACCATTGAGGTGTCAAAGGGACAGTTGGAACTCTAATAAAAAAAGGCCACAATAGTGAAACCAAACTACAAGTAGAGTTTCCAATGTAATGGTAGACATGGATACACCCTATGAATCTTTTTCTTTAGAGCTTTTTAATTATAAATAAAGAGTTATTTCTTATAAAAAAAAGACACTCTATAAAACGCTTTTTAAATTTGTATCAAAACTTAATAAAGAATATAGTAGAATAAGATATGTATATCATATAAAAAAGAAAGAAAAAATATGATTACTTTCTCTTGTAGCAGCCTCTTCTGTTCTTAGGGGTGACCCTCTTGCAACTTTCTTGAGAGTGTTGTTGTTGAATCTGGGAAAGCTCATGGGATTCGTAGGTGGGGTATTTGTCAAAGAGGAAGAGGGTGTTGGTGAAGGATCTAAGCACGTTCTTGGCAAGAGTTTGGAGTAAATTAGAAGATGAGTTATCATGTTCATTCATCACTTGACGAAGTTGATTTGCAAACTCACGCCCTCTCACAAGCTCTTGGAATACCCTTCTGTCATCCATTCTTACTTCTCTTCTCTATCCTTGATTGCCTTTAATTTCTTCTTCCCATGCCTCTTTCTCTTATATATTTATATATGTATATATTGGTTCCTTTCACACCGTACGTACAAACTTGCTTTTCGTTCACCAGCTGTATCACCTTCATTTGTTAATTCATTCCTTTTTAAAAATTATTTATGAACTTTATGATATTAAAATTGCTAAACTGTATGCTTTTCAAAAATGACCCTGTTGATATATGATTTTTTTATATTATTTAATCCATGTAAACTTTACTAATATGAGAACAAGAGCACTAGACCCATCTAAAAAATTAAAACATGTATGTTGAATTAGTGATGCTTATGTAAAATTAAACCAATAAAAAAATGATTGTTTTGGTATCTCAAATGTCAAGAGAGTACATGTAAACACTTTTTTTTATTATGAACCAATAAAAAACAACGCATGTTGTAAATGAGTTGGAAATAATGGTATTTTAAATTTTATAATCATAAAAAGTTCCATTGAGAATTATTTTAATTTTGCAAAGTTCAATATTAAATATAAAAAATATGCAAATGCAAATGAAAGGGATAACAAAAGCAAGGTCAAGGGTTCGAATCTTGTCTTGTATATGCAGTCGCGTTAAATTTTGGGACCAGCTATCCTATCCTTTAAGGTGCCTCCAACGTAACGAGGAGATTAGTCACTGTTATCGATGGTAGATACTCCAGGAACGAAAAAAAAAAAACAAAAAACAAAAACAATCCAGTAAATATTTTAGAAATTTAAAAGAAAATCTAAACAATAAGTCGTATTATTACCATAACTTTTTAAAAAATAAAAAAATTGATTCATAAAAACTAAAATGATAACAATAAAATTCGATCTTAAAAATGCATGATACCTTAACTCCCTGTACTACAACTCCACCGATGTAGTGATTACCGGTATTTATGACTGTACTGTAGAATTTACCAAATAAATTGTGGCAAAAAAAGTGTTAAAACATTTTTCAAACTTAACATTGGTTCCCACAGTGTAGCTGAACCTATATTTCGCATCTTTGGACAAATTAACAAATATCCCCTCACTGACGCGACATTAATTTGTGAAAAATGAATAGTTATTAGTATAGTTTAGTATTTTTTTTCAATCTCACTTTTATCTTGTTTTTTCTTTATTACTTCTTTCTTTCTTTTTTTATTCATCAGTCTTCACATCTATCACTTTGTCTCTATACTTTTTCCCCCTCCCTTTCTATACTTTTCATTTCTATTTTAATTCACCCCAAAATAGGATGGACAATATCAATGCTTAAAAAGATGATACATAATTTTGTGAAAGTTTTCCTTTATTTGATACACATGAAAATAATAGGAAAAAAAATTACAAATCTCACATTAGAATTGGTTGGAGTTACAATAAAAACTTAAAAGGAGAAAGAAATTATTATATCTTTTGTAGTTAACATATAAAAACAAATGGTTACATATTAAATTTATTTATATCTTTTAATAATATATTTATTTATTTATTTATTTCTCTTTTACTAGACAAGTAAATAGTCGTCTCATTTTTCACTATTTTTTCTTCTCACTTTTTTTTCCTCTCATTTTTTTTTTCATAAAACAAACCGAGAAATAGTTTGGAGCAGAGGGAGACGAAGATTGTGATCGAAAGAGGTTACAATAGGAGCCAAAACAGTGAACCTATCAGTCTATGACTGCATTTTAATTTTTAAATTTTTATCACTAAGTGTAATTAATCTCAACCCTTCATTTAATTATGCTTCATGTGAACTATATTTTTGCTCGTGCACTGGTGCATGTGGTTAATGTTAGAGGTAGGAAATGAATTGATTTATTTATTTATTATTCATCTGATTTATTTATAAATTAATTTATTTAATTTATCTATTACGATAAAAATAAATAATAGATCAAATTTAATTTATTTATTTAATTTTATAGATAAGTAATGGTTTATCTACAACTTTTTCAAAATTCATTTATAATATAAGATATATTTATTGAATTTAAATTTTAAAAAATATCTCAAGAATTTTAAAGGATCATATAAAAACGTAAAGACTTATAAAAATAATAAATGAAAAAAATATTTAAAAAATAAAATTTATTTAATTTTTAAAATATTACTCTTATGAATGAACATCCATGTTAATGAATTAATTAGATAAATATTTTACTATAATTGTATTAAATAAATTAAATTTTTAAAAAATTTAAATAAATTAATAAATTATTTTTCTTCCATCCATCACCGCTTGTAAAGGTTTATCTATCCTCCCTTATTTTGTTAGAGTATTTAATTGTAAGACAAAATAAAGAAACAATAATTGAGCCACTTGCAATTGAATTAGATCCATAGCCCCCTCCTAGGAAAATTCCAGACCGCAAATAATAATCGAAGGCTTAGGACGTGCCACGTGTACGAAGTGGTTCAGTGACGTCACCATTAGTGTATATGATGACATCATGAGACATATAAAATGACAAAACCATGACACCCAAAAGGACGATATTGCCCTTCCGGGTCGTGCGGGGCGGAGCATCGTAGTCAACCTTCAGACAGAAAATGGTGACTAGTTAATGCGATCTGTTTGGTTTGAGATTAACACAAAATAGTATTCGAAAAACGTGCTTAATTAGATTGTTGCAAACATTTTTACTGAAAATATTTTCAAAATCAAGTGAAAACCTGAAAATGAAAATGTGTTGTTTTCAAAATCTTCTCAAGAAATGAAAACATAATTGTTGAAAACACGATGACGAGGTGTGTAATTCTAATCATAAACATTTTTTTTTAATCTATTTACTATGTGCAACATTTATGTGACATTGGTCTTGAATTCTGAGATGTCACTAACTTGATGTGTTCAATATTTAACAAAGGAAGGGAACACATGCAAAAATAATATATAATATATGATAAAAAAAAAATGAATGCTGGACAAATCAATTACATAATACATGGTGGATGATACACGTTAAAGTTTTATTTCTAATGAAATTTTTTTAATAAACATTTGTAAAATTTATTGAAAAGAATTTGTACTATTTATTTTCATTGTAAAAAAATGTGTACGTTATATCACGTTGTCACTTGATCTTTCATTCCTAATTATTAAAAAAAAAACTATTTATTTTATATTTTTATATAATTTTTGTTTTACAAATTATCAAAAGTAAAACTTTATTCATAATTAAGATTAATATGTATACAATATATTTAAAGAGTTGTATATAAATTGTGGCGAGTTATATATATTATCTTTTGATATGCATATGACATGTTCCTCATTTATAATATTTTATTTTTATATTTTTTATTCCTAATATAATAATTTTAAGAGTACAAAAATTTAATTAAATTGGGTTTGAGGTGTGAATAATAAAATTAATTTTGATGTCTCTAATGAGTCACTCATAAATAGAAGAATGCAATATTTTATCTAGTTTTTCTAAATTACTTGATCTCTTTATCTATAAGTTGAGAATTTATTTTTGTTAAAATGTAGAAACATGTTTATTATTTTCTAAAATAAATTTATAATTGGTTAAATCAGACATATTTTTAATCTTTTCATTTTTAAAAAATAGAAAATGAGAAATCAAAACAAACATATTTTCAAAATGATAGAAATATGAAAATAAAAATTGTTTTCAGAAAATAAAAATAGAAAACATTTTCTAAAACCAAACAGACCGTAATTTACTCTCACTTGCCCATCTAATTATCCTTCATTTTCTAATGTTGGTTTATGTAGAAAATACAAAAATTACAATTGAAAATAGTTTTTTTAAAATGTTTTTTCCTTTTGATTTCACTTATTTTACTCTCTCTCTAAAGTTTAAAATAAACTTTTAAATTACATCACATACATTTTTTTTAATTATTTTGTAGTCTCTATATTTACATTTTTAATTCATTTTAGTTTCTATCGTAATTTTTTTTTATATAGCATTGTTTCTGTGTGCTTATTAAGTTCACGTGACAGTAATGTGTTTTTTATTTTAAAAAAATGATGTATCATTTAATGATTTATTATGCATTATTAACAATTTGACCACTTATTTAAATCACATCTAGTCATAGTAAATATTAATTGTCTATAAAATCATCTAAACTCTTCATTTTTTTCCCACCAAATCATTAAGTGACACATCATCATCTACAAAATAAAATACATCACTGTCTCATGAATTTAATACCACAAAAATTACATTACAAAGAAATTAATATAGACTATAAAAGATTCAAACATGTAAATATAGAGATTAAAAAATTTATTTTAAACTACAAGGATTAAAAGGTAAAGTCATTAAAACTATACAAATTAAAAAAGATATTTTAACTTTTTTTTACTACTTTTGATCTTAATTATAAGTAATATAAGACAAATCATCAAGATTAAGAAAAATAATTTATTTAGTTACTTTTAATTAATTATACCATAAATTCATATTTTATTCCAAAGATACTATTTATTTTAAGTGGTTGTTACATTTATGTTAATTATAAGTGAATGCATATGAAATAGAGTTAATAATAAATTAAGAGTATAAAAAGAAATTTACTCTTAAGTATCTTTAAATATTAATGATTGTTACTTATAATTATTTTTTTTATATTAATGGTGCATGTGTAACACTGTATATTTTGTTGATTATTGTATTTTATCGATAAATATGCGTTGTAGTGTTTTGACGTGTAGTGTTGAGAGACTCTAGGAGTTAAAAAGCTTCTAAAGAGTCTTTAGGTGTTTTTAGAGGACTTCTCTTAGTAGAGGTCTAGTTTGACCTTGAGAGAGAGAGCAGTATATAAGGATTCTTTTGAGAATTGGGTCTTATAAACTCATTCTTAGAGAACCTAGAGAGATAAACTTAGAGAAAGATTCTAGTTGTTGAACCTTTCTTCTTCCTCTTTTAGCTTCTCGGGAGTCTTAGAGCAGTGATTTTAGTACTTGGTGCTGATTCAAGACATTTAGCTCAGAACCATCCTCGTTCTTCATCTCATTCCTCTTT